GTCACAGGAGACCCCCAGTAAGGATTTGGGGGGGCCATCCATATCCTACCCCCCCCAACCCCATTCCCAACCCAAGGAGGAGCCCCGTGAGGATTTGAGGGGGGGTCTCCCTCATTCCCCCTCCACAAGGGGAACCCCCAAACCCCCTGGGAGGATTTTGGGGGGCTCTTCTGCCCCCTGACCCCCCCGTCACTCCATTCCCCAGTCACAGGAGACCCCCGGTAAGGATTTGGGGGGGCCATCCATGTCCTACCCCCCCCAACCCCATTCCCAACCCATGGAGGAGACCCGTGAGGATTTGGGGGGGGGTCTCCCCCATTTCCCCTCCACAGAGGGAACCCCAAAACCACCCAGGAGGATTTGGGGGGGTCTCTTTTGCCCCCCTCCCCAAAACCTCAAGCCCCCTTTACCTGGTTCTCCTCCAAGGTCAAATCCCTCCCTTGGCTTTGACTTTCCTCTTCCATCCTCTCCTCGAATTCCTGCCGGGCTTTTTCCACCGAAATCATTTCTTTTTCCAGCTCGTCCATGTCCCCTTTGCGTTTTTTATACTGTTTCTGGGCGTTCTGCAAGGATTTTTTGGCCGCTTCTAATTTTTTAATTTTGTGGGAGGTGTTTTCCTTGGCCTTGATGTACTGGGGTCGCTTTTGGTTCAGCTCCGAGTCCTTCTCCCTGGGGAAAAAAAATAAAAATAAAATAAAATTTAAAAATATGACAATTTTGAGAGGTGGAAAAAAAAATAATCACAATTTTGAGACGTAAAAAAAATTTACAACTTTAAAGAGGTGGAAAAGCTCTTGGTTCCAAATCCTTTCCCCTGGTTAAAAAAAAATGTCACAATTTTGAGAGGTGGAAAAAAAAAAAACACCACCACAATTTTGAGATGTAAAAAAAATTTACAATTTTAAAGAGGTGGAAAAGCTCTTGCTTCCAAATCCTTTCCCCTGGTTAAAAAAAATAACAATTTTGAGGTGAAAAAAGCTCCAAATCTTATCCCCTAGTTTAAAAATTGACAATTTAAGAGGTGAAAAACCTCCCAATCCTTTTCCCTGATTAAAAAATAAAAATTTCGAGGTGACAAAAGCTCCGAATCCTTTCTTCTGGTTTAAAAAAGTGACAATTTTAAGAGATGAAAAACCTCTGAGTCCTTTTTCCTGATTAAAAAATAACAATTTTGAGGTAAAAAAAGCTCCTGGTTCTGAATCTTTTTCCCTGAACAAAAAAGTAACATTTTTGAGAGGTGAAAAATATCACAATTATCACAGAAAAAAAAACTTCCCAGCTCCGAATCCTTTTTCCTAGTTTAAAAAAAAAAACAACACAATTTTAAAAGGTAAAAAAAGCTGTGGGTTCCACATTCTTTTCCTTGATGAAAAAAATAACATTTTTAAGAGGTGAAAAAGCTCTCTGTGTAAATTTTTCTCCATTTCTTAGGGGCTTTCTTACTTTATTTCCTTCTCGATCTGTTGCTGCTCCCTCATCATCTTCCCCAGCTCCTTCTTGCGATCCTTGAGCTCGTCCTCCACCCGATCCATCCTTTTCTTGTCTTTATCGATTTCCCGGTTTTTCAAGCTCAACTCCTTGTTGAGCTTTTCGATTTCGGCTTCGTTGTGGTAAAGCTTAAAGAGCTGGAGCTGAACCTGGGCCCGAACCACTTCGTCCTTTAAACGCTGGTAACGATCGGCCTAAAAAAGAGGAAAAGAAAGGGGAGAGACCTAAAAACGGCGAAAATAAAGGAAGGGAGGCCTAAAACAGGCAGAAAGGCCTAAAACAGGTGTAAAATAAAGGGGGGAGGCACAAAAAAAAGGTGGAAAGGCCTCAAAAAGGCAGAAATAAAGAGGGGGGAGGCCTAAAAACAGCAGAAAGGCCTCAAAAAGGAGGAAAATAAAGGGGGGACGCCTCAAAAAGGAGGAAAATAAAGGGGGGACGCCTCAAAAAGGAGGAAAATAAAGGGGGGACGCCTCAAAAAGGAGGAAAATAAAGGGGGGACGCCTCAAAAAGGAGGAAAATAAAGGGGGGCAGGCCTTCCTGTGGCCCCTCAAAAAGGAAGAAAACAACAGGGGAGGCTAAAAAAGGCAGAAAGGTCTAAAACCGCAAAAAATAAAGGGAGGAGGCCTCAAAAAGGAGCAAAATAAAAGGGGGGACGCCTCAAAAAAAGTGAAAAACAAAGGGGGGACACCTCAAAAAGGCAGAAAGGTCTAAAAAAGATAGAAAATAAATGGAGTTAGGCCTCAAAAAGGTGGAAAATAAAGGGGGAGGCCTC